CCGATTGCTAACTTTGTCTACTGGCTGTTTGTCGGCTAATTTCCTATTAAAGGGAGAATTAATTGATGTTGTTTGTTGTTTCTCTTTAATTTTGCCTTTACGTCTTAAGCTTGTATAATATCATAGTTTATATATTATTAGTTTGAGTATTAAATATGTAGATATTTATTCAGGGAATCAAATTATGATTATAGGCATTTAGTTAAGTTTATTATGTTTACCTAATAAGCTTCCCTCAAAATACGTGGTCTTTCGTAGATCATCATGGCAGCCAAATGCATGAAATCGGGAAAGGGGTGAAGTCAAAAAGGTTATTACGTTTTATAAACACATAATTTATATATTTATAGTATGCTAATATGTTTATTGTATGTTTAAGTACATGTCAGTATTATTGTGTGCTTTGCCAGGCAATGTTTTTAGTCACATTAAGTCAGGTTTATAATTCGTGGAGACAACGCTGTCGTCCGCTGTCGTCTGTCAGTGTCATCGTCCTTGGCCTTTGAACAGGGCTACGTATTGTTTACGTTGTGTTCATTGTTGTCATTAAAGTTAGTTAATCAGTACTGCATGGTAATCCGATGTATTTTTCTTATTTCAGTTTTCACGTAATGTTTAGTGAAATCTTCAGAATGTACATGTAATATTCAGTGAAAGCTTCAGAATATAATATTCAGCATGTAATCAAGTATTATTCAGCATCGTCAGTAATGAGTAATATTCAGCCATGATGTCTTCAGTATAATATGTAGCACGTTGATTATAATCAGAATTAAAAGAGGAATTCATCCGTATTCGAATTCTCTCATTAGGCTATGTAGGCCCATGCGTATGCGACCTGATTTGTGTAAGCTGATGTGTGAACTGTTTATATTTGTAGCTGTTATTTAATATATAAAGTTTATTACATTGAAGAACTACACGTCGTTGTTTATATTTCGCTAAATGTTTCAGTGTAGAAAGCATTGACTTCAGAGTATTCGTCCGCAGAGCATCATTCCTCTGTCAATATTATTTGGCTGCTTCAGCGATAGAGGCATGCTGTTACAGTGAAAACTTTATTCACATTCGTTTATAAGTAGGCGAACTTTTAATTCATTTGCGTTATATGAGTAGACACTTCATATCGCATACTGAGAAGAGACTGGTGTTATGTATTCAGCAACTTTACCATTGACAATATTTCTAATAAGCAGTATATTATCGGTGATTTCGATTTCGGATAAATTATATACAAGTACAATGGCATCCGGTGGTAATGATACCTACAAGATAAAATCATCTCATCATTCTTCATCAAAGAGATCTCTTCAAACACGAAGTGCTGCATCGCGGTCGCACTCTGTAAAAGCTGACATAGCTATTGAAGCTGCTGCACTTAAAGTAAAACTCAAATATCTAGAGGAAGAAACCAGGAAACAGTCAGAACTTACACGTATTCAGATGATACGAGATTTGGATATGGCGGAAGCTAAACTTCAAGCCTTAGATCAAGTTGAAAGAGAAGACAGTTGTGTCTTGACTGACAGTAGTGAATCTGATAAAAGCCGTCATAATACATGTAGTCACAATGCTCCTGAAATTAATGCGCGTCAAGATCGTCAACGTAATTTTGTACATGTACCTCTACCTACTGCTAATCAAGATGTAAATCAATATGTTCAAAGTTACATTAATAACATTCCTGACTCAAGATATTCGCCAACTGAAGTTTCAGTGGAAAATTGTGGTGGTAACATTAGTAACAATGAAACTTTATCATCAATTGCTAAAATGTTTGCAGAACAAGTTAATTTAAGTAAATTGCCAGCTCCTGAACCTATAATATTTTCTGGCGATCCATTGAAGTATCCAACATGGAAATCTGGGTTTCGTTCTTTGATAGAACACAAGAATATTCAACCGGTCGAAAAAATGTTTTATCTTAAAAAATATTTAAGTGGTGTTGCACGTGAATCCGTTGAGAGTTACTTTTTATTACAAACTGATAACGCCTTTGAAGATGCAAAGTCCTTATTAGAAGAAAGATTCGGTAATCCCTTTATTATTTCGCAAGTTTTTCGCGACAAGCTAGAAAGTTGGCCGAAGATATATCCTCGCGATGGTTTGGCACTTCGAAAATTTGCAGACTTTCTCAGACAGTGTGAATCTGGTATGAACTCTATTGATAGTCTTAAAGTTCTCGATGATCCACGAGAAAATAAGAAACTTTTGATTAAGTTACCAGATTATTTAGTCAATTGTTGGGCTCGTATCGTGCACGACTATAAGCAGAAATATCAGCAGTTTCCTCCCTTTAGGGAATTTGTAAAATATTTATCAAGAGAGGCAGATATCGCTTGCGATCCAGTTACGTCCTGTAGTTATAAGTCAAACTCAAATCGAAGTAATCCATATGAACCTAGGAGAGCTGCAACGGCTCATGCTTTGGAAACTCGTGAAAATCGTCAGTTTAATCGCTCCGAACGAAAACCGTGTACCGTTTGTAAAGGTCAGCATCACTTGGACACATGTTCTGAATTTTTAAAGAAGAATTTGAAAGATAGAAAGGAGTACATTGCAAATAATCGCCTGTGTTTTGGCTGTTTAAGCTCGGGTCACATGTCAGTATTTTGTCGAAGCAGATTGTGGTGTAATATCTGTCATAAAAGGCACCCAACTTCTCTTCATGGTGATGTTCCGGAAAGAAACGATCCAGTTGCAAGGTCTTCCGTTGCGCATAGTATTAAAGTTGACTGGTACGACGTTGGTAATAAAAGCGCAATGATTGTACCCGTGTGGATATCCTTTGAAGACAGAGAACGTTTAGTTTATGCATTGCTTGATACTCAGTCGGACAATACTTTTGTTTTAGACACTTTGTTAGATTCTCTTGGTGTTGATGGACAACAAATCCAGCTTTCACTTTCAACAATGACTGCTGAAAATCAGATAATAAATAGCCGTAAAGTTCCGGGTTTGTGTGTTCGAGGATATGACAGTAATATAATCATCAATCTACCTCCAGTTTATTCCAGAAGAATAATGCCGGCGAATAGAAGTCATATTCCTAATTCCGACATGGCTAGACGTTGGCCTCACTTACACTGTATAGCAGATCAACTTCCTCCTATTCTGAATTGCGAGATTGCCCTTTTAATAGGTTATAATTGTCCTAAAGCTCTTACACCTAGAGAAGTAATACCTCATTCGGGAAATGGTCCTTACGCCCAGAGAACTGACTTAGGATGGGGTGTAGTTGGCATTATAGATCAATGTGCGTCAGAAAATTTGGATTCAATAGGCTGTAGTAGTCAGACATTTCAAGTTCGAACATCATGTAATAATAAATCAGAACAATCACTAACTTCAAGTGATATTGTTGTTTCCTTTAAAACACACATCCGAGAAATTATTAATCCTGTTGACATACTGAAAATGATGGAGATAGACTTCAGTGATCGTAATAATAATGACTCTGGTTGTTCTCATGAAGATAATCAATTTGTACTTAAGATGAACTCATCAATTCGCTTAAATGAAAACAGTCATTATGAAATGCCTTTACCTTTCCGTGGATCTAAACCAACGCTTCCGAATAATCGCATTGTGGCAGAAAATCGTTTGACACCTTTGGTAAATCGTTTTACAAAAGACATAAATTTTAAGCAAGATTACAGTAAATTCATGAATGAGATTATCGAAAAGAATTACGCCGAACCGATTTCTGCGCATGAAATTTGTAATATTGGACAGATTTGGTATATACCACATCATGCAGTTTATCATGCAAAAAAGCCTGGTAAAATTCGAGTCGTTTTCGACTGTAATTCGAAATTTAAGGATGTTTCGCTTAATGATCATTTGTTAAAGGGGCCCGATCTAACCAATAGTTTGTTCGGTGTATTATGTCGATTTAGAATGGAGAATGTAGCCATTATGTGTGATATTGAGCAAATGTTCTACCAGTTTAATGTGGAAAAACAAGATCGTGATTTTCTCAGATTTTTATGGTGGAATAAGGGAGATGATAAGCCTGCCGATTTCAGAATGACTGTGCATTTATTTGGTGCTACCTCGTCACCAGGTTGTGCGAACTTTGGGCTAAAGCAAGCTGCAAATGATTTTGAAATGGAATTTGGATCAGAAGCTGCTAATTTCGTGCGAAATAATTTCTATGTTGATGATGGTTTGTTGTCAGTCAAAACTGACGAAGAAGCAATTTCGCTGATTGAAAATACCAAAAAACTGTTAGCCAAGTGCGGATTGAGACTTCATAAATTTTTGTCAAATTCTAACACAGTGATCGAATCAGTTCCGGTTGTGGATCGTGCAAAGGTTCTTCAGAATCATGACCTTTTCTTCGAAGATTCACCTATTGAGAGATGTCTTGGTTTACAGTGGTGCATTGAATCCGACACTTTTCAGTTTCGTATATGTCTCAAAGATCAGCCACTCACCAGACGTGGAATTTTGTCAACTGTTTCCTCGATCTATGATCCGTTAGGACTTATTTCGCCAGTTATTTTAGTTGGTAAACAAATCTTGCAGGAACTCTGTAGAGCTCATAACGATTGGGACAGTGACATTCCGGATATATTGAGATTCCGATGGGAAAAATGGAGATCTAGCTTATCTCAACTTGCAGACGTGAAAATAGAACGTTGTTATAAACCCAAAGACTTTGGTGATATTGTGGTAAATGAATTACATCATTTTTCAGACGCGTCAACGTTCGGTTACGGACAATGTTCGTATTTGAGATTGATTGACAATAATAGCAATGTATCTTGTTCATTAGTAATGAGTAAATCTCGAGTGACACCTCTTAAACCAATAACAATTCCCCGTTTAGAATTAGCTGCAGCTTTAGTGTCGGTAAGAGTTAGTTTGCAGTTAAGACGTGAATTGAACTATAGTAATTTAACTGAAGTATTTTGGTCAGATAGTAAAGTAGTGTTAGGTTATATTAACAATGATGCAAGAAGATTTCAAATGTTCGTTGCGAATCGTATATTATTTGTATGTATGGCTAGCCGTGCTATACATATAGAAACTTTAAATGATCTAAGTACAGACGCATTTATAAACGGTTTACGACGTTTCCAGTGTATTCGTGGACCTATCCGACAGTTAAGATGTGATAACGGAACAAACTTTATTGGAGCAAAACGCGAGTTACATCAAGCCTTTCACGAGATGGACAGTGGTCGAATTCAGAAATATCTTGTAGAAAATGGGTGTGACTATTTTCAGTTTAAAACTAATGTTCCAAATGCTAGCCATATGGGTGGGGTGTGGGAGCGCCACATTCGTTCTATTCGAAATGTTCTATCGTCACTTTTGTTACAGAATGGTTCTCAGTTGGATGACGATTCCTTGCGCACCTTTATGTATGAAGCTATGTCAATTATTAATAGTAGGCCACTTACAGTAGATAACTTGAACGACGTCAATTCGCTAACACCCTTAACTCCTAATAACATTTTAACTATGAAGTCTAAGATAATATTGCCTCCCCCTGGTGAATTCCAGAAACCTGATCTTTATTCACGAAAACGTTGGCGTCGCGTTCAGTATATATCAAATGAATTTTGGAGTAGATGGAAGCAAGAGTATCTGCAGAATCAACAAGTACGTCAAAAATGGAATCGTGAAACTCGTGATATGCATTGTGGTGATATAGTGCTCGTGGTTGATGATAAATCTGCTCGCAATCAATGGTCTTTGGGACGAATTATAGAAACTTACAAAGATAAAGATAATCATGTGCGAACTGTCAAACTTTTAGTTGGTGACAAGAAGCTTAATGCGAAAGGGAAACGTGTCTATCCGAGAAGTGTTCTTGAACGTCCTATTCAGAAACTGATATTAATTTTGGAACATGAATAAACCGGGATTCCCCATCGAGGAGCCACAGACTTTCAGTAGAACTATCAAACTGTTATGCTTAACCGTTTAGTTATTTGGTTTACTTTTATATCTCTGCTTTTTCTTTGTTCGTAGATTAATTGAAAATTAGTTCCTAATTTTGGGGAGCCATGTAACGGTAGTCGTGCGATAGACGAAGTGTTCCGATTGCTAACTTTGTCTACTGGCTGTTTGTCGGCTAATTTCCTATTAAAGGGAGAATTAATTGATGTTGTTTGTTGTTTCTCTTTAATTTTGCCTTTACGTCTTAAGCTTGTATAATATCATAGTTTATATATTATTAGTTTGAGTATTAAATATGTAGATATTTATTCAGGGAATCAAATTATGATTATAGGCATTTAGTTAAGTTTATTATGTTTACCTAATAAGCTTCCCTCAAAATACGTGGTCTTTCGTAGATCATCATGGCAGCCAAATGCATGAAATCGGGAAAGGGGTGAAGTCAAAAAGGTTATTACGTTTTATAAACACATAATTTATATATTTATAGTATGCTAATATGTTTATTGTATGTTTAAGTACATGTCAGTATTATTGTGTGCTTTGCCAGGCAATGTTTTTAGTCACATTAAGTCAGGTTTATAATTCGTGGAGACAACGCTGTCGTCCGCTGTCGTCTGTCAGTGTCATCGTCCTTGGCCTTTGAACAGGGCTACGTATTGTTTACGTTGTGTTCATTGTTGTCATTAAAGTTAGTTAATCAGTACTGCATGGTAATCCGATGTATTTTTCTTATTTCAGTTTTCACGTAATGTTTAGTGAAATCTTCAGAATGTACATGTAATATTCAGTGAAAGCTTCAGAATATAATATTCAGCATGTAATCAAGTATTATTCAGCATCGTCAGTAATGAGTAATATTCAGCCATGATGTCTTCAGTATAATATGTAGCACGTTGATTATAATCAGAATTAAAAGAGGAATTCATCCGTATTCGAATTCTCTCATTAGGCTATGTAGGCCCATGCGTATGCGACCTGATTTGTGTAAGCTGATGTGTGAACTGTTTATATTTGTAGCTGTTATTTAATATATAAAGTTTATTACATTGAAGAACTACACGTCGTTGTTTATATTTCGCTAAATGTTTCAGTGTAGAAAGCATTGACTTCAGAGTATTCGTCCGCAGAGCATCATTCCTCTGTCAATATTATTTGGCTGCTTCAGCGATAGAGGCATGCTGTTACAAGGCCTGTTGACAATTAATTGTTTTTGACTTACATCAATGATGTACAAGATGTACTCCATAATGTGGCTAGATTATTTGCAGACGACACGGCACTTGGGTGTAGCAAACAGTCAGTTTCAGAGATAGAACAGTCCCTAAACTACGATCTGACAAATCTCAACATTTGGGCGAATAATTGGCTTATAAACTTTAATCCAAACAAAACAAAAGCTATTTTATTTAGCTCCAAAAAAACAGAAAATTATCCGAGTCTGATATTCGATAATCAAGCACTTGAAGTGGTTAAATGTCACAAACACTTGGGCATTACCCTTTCAAATGACGCCAAATGGACCATCCATATAGAAACTATTATCTCGTCCACCTCAAAATTATTAAATATTTTGCGTAAACTAAAATTCACCTTTAATAGACAAACTCTAAATAACGTATATTTGATATTCATAAGGCCAAAATTGGAATACGCATGTGAAGTGTGGGATGGGTGTAACGTTTCCAATACCGAAAAACTTGAAAAGGTACAGCTAGAAGCTGCCAGGATTGTGACTGGACTAACTAAAACTTGTTCTCGTGAAGCGCTTTATTTTGAAACCGGATGGAATAAATTGTCAGACAGACGTACACAAAAGCGACTAACCACATTTTTTCAAATTAAAAATCAGAGAAACCCAGCATACTTATATGACATTCTAGAATATTATCAACAAACACCACAAAAATACAATTTAAGAAACATTAGCGAATATAGATATCCTTATTGTAGAACAGCATTACCCCAAACTTCGTACTTCCCCACAACAACTCGAGATTGGGAATTATTAGAGGACCCCATAAAGCAATCAACCACTCTTAAATCCTTCAAATATCTATACAAACAAAAATTACGTTCCTTAATACATAAAGCGCCAATCTACTACTGTAAAGGTAATAGACATGAAAATATTATTCACACTAGAATACGGCATGGGTGTAGTTCGTTGCAAAATGATTTGTATGAAATAAACGTTGTGAATGATCCCACATGTTCTTGTGGCAAATTTATAGAAAATGCCGAACACTATTTCCTGCAATGTCACTTATATGATGTAATTCGTGCTGAACTATTAAATACATTGTCAAGTTATTCTGTGATAAATATAGATATCCTATTGTGCGGCAATTCAGAATTGTCAATTGAGATGAATACAAACCTTTTCCTTGAAGTTCACAAATATATCAAACTTTCAAAACGATTTAAATTTAAATAAAAGTTATTGTTAGTAGTTACATCTTAGAATAAATTATTAGCTTTAGCTTTTTTGGTGGATAACTTTTTTTTTTTTTTTTTTCTTTTTTTTTTTCCGCACCCCCCACCCCCCATTTTTTTTTTTTTTTTTTTTTATTATTTCTTTTTATCATTTTATACATGCATCAGTTCATTTATATCCCATTTATTAAACTTTATTTTTCAATGTTTTAAATATAATTTTATATTCTCTTTATCACCTCTTCACTTATTTTATATAGAGCTTTGAGATATAATTCATCTGACTTTACTTATATTACTTATAAATTATTTATTATTGTATATACTATTTCGAAATCTTGTTAGTATTAAATAATGTCTATCATTTCTATGTATGGAAAGGGCTTTTCTAAGTTTTTGAAACTTGTGCTCAATCCTTTTGATATTTGTCAATAAAATATGTTTAAACTAATTGTAAAGAGTTATACTCCCTATGTGTTTGTATAAAGAGTTATACTCCCTAAGGACAATATTATTATATCACTCATGCGAGTGTCTGTAATTCAAAGCGTATCTTACAGGAGAATAATTAGGTAACTAAAATAGACTTTAAAATACATTAATATTGTCAAAGATATGTTTACCAAAATGGGAAATGTAATGGGGCTCAACGTCCTACTGTTCTGCTCCAAAATGGCAAATGTAACATAGGTTTTTAATATATAGAACGCATATATGACTTATGTCGTTCATACTGTTGACCAACGTAGGGATAGTATTGTACCCACACAATGAATACATTGAATGGAAATATAACGACATAGTTTGTTTGCATTTTATAGTACACGTACAGACAAATTTGTGCTTTATTTTATAGTAGCCTCGGGACCGAATTCCCAGCATTATAGGCACCTACACGACCAATTGATATATAAACATACATGTATTAGTACCGATACTTCCAATAAAATCCGTGTTTAATCATTTAAAAAAAACACAAAACGACATTTTTGTCACATTACATACAAAGTCAAGGTATATACGCCATTCCAAAAAAATACCCCACGCTTCTTTATATCCTTGTTTAAACCTGCTTGACACATTCACGACAAAAAAAAACGAAATAACATACCTTTATCCTATCTATATATCAAATTACACACAAAGCCAAGGTATATACGCCATTCCAATAAAACACCCCGCGCTTCTTTATATCCTTGTTTAAACCTGCTTGAGACACGACTAATAAGTTCGATGACTGTATTAACAAATCACTGATCGATTAATTGTTTAGTTATTCACAATGGACTACACCTGGGAGTAGACCTAGCCTAATATACAATGACCGTACTGTCACTACTTCTACTGAATGTTGTGTACTATCAGTAAGATACAAGATAAGCTGAACATTATTAGGGTCAAGCATGTCATGGGATGGACTGTAAGATGACATGTTAAAGCGCACGAGAATATTGAAGTGCACGGTATTAAAGGGACCATCCCGATTTTAACAGAGAGAGAGAGAGAGAGAGTGAGAGAAATGGGGTTTAACGTCCACTCGACACAAACTAGGTCATTTCGGGACTAACATATGGTTTAATTTTTTATTTCAATATTTCGCTTGCGCGTAGTAGGTGTCTTTAGTAGATAGCAAACCTTAATCTCTCAACCACAAACACATCAGTATATCTCAACGTCTTTAGCTACGTTCTCGTAGCTAGGGTCTTTAGCAGCTGGAGGAAACCGAAGGACCCGGAGAAAACCCACGAGGTTGGACAGGCGACCCTACTCCTTGTCACGTATAACCGGGGATTCGAAACCACACCAGTTGACTCAATGACAGGCTTTATGATACAGCGCGCACATGCTAACCATTCGCCCCCCCCCCCCCGATTTTAACGGTCTCGGTGATAAAAGTCCGTGTACATGTAAATTTAAAGCGCCAAAGAGGAATAGTGTATTTACTTTGTCTCCAAATATTGAGTCGTTTGGACGTGAACGTCAAAAACCGCATATCCGGTCAATTTTTTCGTTGGGTGACCCGATTATCTATAGCCGTTCCTTTAGAGGTCTATACAGTGTATTGCCCACGTGATGTACTTGATAACGGAAGGTAAATTTCACCTACACGTTATTTTATAAAATAAAAGTCTGGTTTATCCAGACACCGTATAATACGGCTTGGGACGCAGGTCTTCATTTCCAGATGAAGATTGTTGGCATTAAATTGTCTGAAAACGTACCAGTATATTGAGTTAGTTGCTCGGCCTCAAAGTAGAGGATTTTATGGGTTTTTAACACAAAATTAAGCAGTTTTATTCTCCAAAATATAATCGAGATTGTCCCTTTAAACTACCCCTTTTGTTGCATAGCGATTGACAATTTTACGCCCATAGGCATAGATTGATTGGCAATTTTTAGTGTCACTGTCGACACAGTAATCCGAAATTTGAAGTAAAATAAGTAAAGAAGCCGATTTCCGGCTGATCTTTCGAAACGAAATTTTAATCGTATCGAGATTGCCCAAATAGTTTAATCAGGGAACCGCGGTGGTTCAGTGTGTTGGCCGAGAAAGTTTCCCTAAAGAACGATATCCAGTCGTTCGGATAGGAAGAATAACCGAGATCCCGTTGGAATTCAATCTAATTAAAATATAGGGGCCTGTTTCACGAAATTTTAACTAAGATAAAATCCAAATTTTAGTAATTTGATTGGATAATATTAGACTGATTTTAGTTATTAGCCAATCAAAATTGAAGTATCTACTAAAATTTGGATTTTAACTTTAGTTAAAATTTCGAGAAACAGGGCCCAGATCTATATTTCGTTTCGTTTTTTTATACTTTCGATGGCCTACACTACATGAAGATCTGACAAGTTATAGCGATAGGTCACGTCAGGGGTCAAAAGACCGACTTATGACCCTATGACGTTAGACATTTGATTAACCAATCAGCATTGATGTTACTAGTGGATTACCCACAATTCCGTGAAAAACACGCCTAAAGCTCGCCGTAACAGACCGTTTCATTGGTTTATCCCTGACACCATTCAGAACACGAGTTAAGTAAAGTAAAGACAGGTAAAACGAAATTTTGTACTATAAAAACGAAACGAAATAGTATCTGTGTTTTAACCAGATTAGTAGTCCGTAGTGCCGCTGCCCGGGGACTTTATCTCCCTCTTGTATGGCACACTGTATGGCGTATGTCCGTATTTATTAGCCCAGTCGGTGCAGAAAATTAGGCCGTTAAACCCCATTTCATTTCATCTGTAACAGGTGCCCCATTTTAGAAATGTATATGGATTTATATATTACTAGCAGGATACCCGGCTTCGCTCGGGGATCATAACTCCGAAACTGGAAGTGGTAGACTAACGCCACCTGGCCTATGTTACTCCCCGGTCCGAGCTACCCCTATACCCCAAATTTCAGACTCGGGGCAGACCTAGTGTAGCCGCCAACCCCGAACAGACCGGCTTCGCTCGGGGGTCATAACTTCGAAACCGGAAGTGGTAGACTAACGCCACCTGGCCTATGTTACTCCCCGGCAGATGTAGCCGCCAACCCCGAAAAGACAGACTTCGCTCGGGGGTCATAACTCCGAAACCGGAAGTGGTAGACTAACGCCACCTGGCCTATGTTACTCCTCGGTCCGAGCTACCCCTATACCCCAAATTTCAGACACGGGGCAGACCTAGTGTAGCCGCCAACCCCGAACAGACCGGCTTCGCTCGAGGGGTCATAACTCCGAAACCGGAAGTGGTAGACTATACCCCAAATTTCAGACTCGGGGCAGACCTAGTGTAGCCGCCAACCCCGAACAGACCGGCTTCGCTCGGGGGGGGGGTCATAACTTCGAAACCGGAAGTGGTAAACTAACGCCACCTGGCCTATGTTACTCCCCGGTCCGAGCTACCCCTATACCCCAAATTTCAGACTCGGGGCAGACCTAGTGTAGCCGCCAACTCCGAACAGACAGACAGACAAATGACAGTCACAAATATATAGATAGAAGATAGATAGATATAACTAGCAGGATACCCGGCTTCGCTCGGGGGTCATAACCCCGAAACCGGAAGTGGTAGACTAACGCCACCTGGCCTATGTTACTCCCGGTCCGAGCTACCCCTATACCCTAAATTTCAGACTCGGGGCATACCTAGTGTAGCCGCCAACCTCGAACAGACAGACAGACAGACAAACGACAGTCACAAATATTAGTATAATAATAGAAGATAGATATTATTATCTAGAACATTCGATTCCTGCATTGGCCGAGAAAGTTCATCCAGATTTTCCGGCGTGGTTCTCTCTTGTCAGTGATGTAGGACGAAGGGCCTGACAAGGACAGCTGTCTAGTCCTTCGGATGAGACGAAAAACCGAGGTCCCGTTTATATATTGGAATGCACGTAAAAGATCCCTTGGCAGTTGGAATTCGATATAAGAGTAGCCCGGAGTGCCGCTGTCCGAGCAAAATTTCCCCCATAACACACTGTATGGCGTATGTCCGTCTTCATTAGCCCAGTTCGGAGCAGAACAGTAGGGGCGTTAAACCCCATTTCATTTCTTTATAAATACTTACGCGAGAATGCATCTTTAATACACTCCCATTTCTTAACAATGTATATAACACGCTGTTCACAGAGAAATATGGGCAAATGTTTCGGGTCAGAGATAGATATTTCCTCGTCTTCAATAGTTAGTGTAGAAACGTAGGATGTTTTATTTCCTGGTATATTTTTATATCCTATCTTGACGTAATTTACTGCGTGCACATTTCCTAGTTTGAGATACGATATAAAGTGACACACTACACAATTAACAAGTAAACGAGACACAGAGAGAGAGAGAGAGAGAGAGAGAGAGAGATGGGGTTTAACGTCCACTCGACACAAACTAGGTCATTTCGGGACTAACATATGGTTTAATTTTATTTCAATAATTCGCTTGCGCGTAGGGGTCTTGAGCAGTGGGAGGAAACCGGAGAAAACCCACGAGGTTGGACAGGCGACCCTACTCCTTGTCACGTACAACCGGGTAAGTAAACGACAGCAATTAGCATACATAAATAACACAGAATTTTATAACCTGTATAACACAAAATTTATTATTACTTTAGTTACTTTTAGAGAAAGGGTTCAAATAGAATCCGGCACGTATTGCGCACAAAAACAACTGCGTCCGTTAAGCCGGATTGATTGCTCCCAGAGCCGAGCTTTAGCCAATCAGCGACTACTTTCCCCTTATTACATCATCTCCCCAAAAAGAAACTCAATCTCTGACAGAATACGCTCTGGGGGTTTGTATGCGGGGAGGTATCTTTAACATCTATGTTTATAAGGAAGAAAGGTGTATTGGATGGCCGGATGGTTAGCACGTGCGCGTTCTATCATAAGGTCTGTCATTGAGTCAACTGGTGTGGTTTCGATTCCCTGGTTGTACGTGACAAGGAGTAAGGTCGCCTGACCAACCTCGTGGGTTTTCTCCGGGTCCTCCGGTTTTCTCCGGGTCCTCCGGTTTTCTCCCACTGCTAAAGATCCCTACGCGCACGCGAATTATTGAAATAAAATTGTACCATATGGTAGTGGGGAATAAGTCCTGAAATGACTTAGTCTGTGTCGAATCCCTCTCTCCCCAAATACGATTTGCTAAATGTGTGCCGGTATTAAGTATTCCAATTATTTCATGTTTATATATTTCCGGTAATTGCAACCAAGGAAGATATTTTAAGGGAATCAATTTTAACCCCACAAATAGCATCAGTAGGAAAGATGAATGTAACCCGCATATTTTATATTCTGATTGATGGACAAATACTAACAAGCCTTGACTTGACTAGAAGCTGTTTATTGTTTATTTTCTTCATACTATGTATTTAAAGTAGCTAAGTCTCTAACTCAATATCATCAAAAATTTTCGACATTGAAAACACGAATTATTTGTCAATTCAAATCAGCATTGGTCTTGTGATCTTACAGGGAACAGATGGGCTTCTGATATCCAATATTCAAGACAAAATAAACATTTTACCATTGGTACACGAATCGTGTACCATAATGCGTTTCAGCGCCATTTCGAACAAGGGACCCAAAGAACGCGGCTAGACATATTCCACAAGTCATGTGAAATGGTGACGCTATATTCTTATCTGGAGAGCATGCACAATAAATATCATCGGTGTAGACTGGAATAACCAGACGCTAAATATTGCCATTCGATTGTGACTTCTGGTGTATTTCGCCAAACATAACTGATTAGAAATTACAGTAAAAACAGAAACGATTGAATGTAAATCAGTTTATATACCTTCATATTACATTATTATATGCGTTGCGACCCATTTGTGTCAATTTCTAGGTCCCAAATATTAGCGATTTAGCTCATT